ACTTTTTAAGTGAGGGGTTATTTGATGGATTATTATTAAAATAGAAAGAAGCATTCTATGCTTTGCTCAGATTCCTAAACTGAGTATGAGAATTTTAATCGTCAGTAACAAGATGATAGACATGCTGATGCTGATTTGGCTACTGTTTCCTATGGACTGGCTGCTTCTTTTTATAATCTTCAATAATCAATTTATTTACCATGAGTCCAGATTGGTTTTGATTCTTCATTGATATTAAATACCAATTATTTGTTGTGCTCAGATGGTTATGGATAACTATAATAGTATATATCAGACAAATTATTTCTCTTACTTCTCCTTTCTTGTTCAAGTTGCTTAGTGAGTGGGTTTTAATGATAAACTAAGCTGTCAGAATTGAGTATCCTCCTTTGTATTACAACATCTGAATTAGGATTATTCTCTTCAAGCTTTTTCAGTAGTTTTTTATTTCTCATTATTGACAGACTCAAACCCTGAATATGCTAAAGATTCTTTCTTTTTTAAGAATTGTAATAATCTGAACTATCATCAATCAAGTTTTTATAATAATTTCCAAACTCTGAGGCCTAAATCTAATTATGACTTTATTTCATTTGAAAGTTTACTTAGGTCGGAACGATTTCTGTTTTGCTTTAGTGATTTGATTTCTAAATACTGCTATTTAGATTATTCTATAACCCCAAAATCTATTAAAGGTCACCTTTTTTGTTGTTAACAGAAGTAATATTATCATGTGATATTTTTTCATAGGTGCTAGAAAAAAGCTTTCTTGATATCATTTCTGAATTAGCTGAATTTTTTATTATCTATCTTTTATCAACTTATGGTAAAACTAGGCTATTTTGATTGCTGGCTGCATTACTATTTATTATGGGTTCTTGATCTTAAGAAAAGTACTTTTATGATTAAGTATTGTTTGACTGCAATGCTAATTACTAAGGATTGACATCCTCAAAGTTCTTTGCCTTACCCCTGTGTGTCATTGGAGGATTATTAGATAAACTGGTTGAATTCTTATTAATGCTGTACTTATTGTTTGGACTATCCTGAAAACTTTAATTATAATCATGGCTTTCGATACTTTAATCGAGAGTACTGATCCCATTTTATACAGTATATTTGTATCTATTCAACAAACTTCATTAATCAAGTTTGATTGGTGCAATATTCATGCTAGATCTTTAATCTTAGTCCACATAAATTTGTCCACTATTGATCTATTACTTGATATTAGTGTGATTTACATACATCTTCTCATAATCCTGCAGTTTCATCGAGTTTTTGCTTTTTTAATCATTTGCATTATGTATGAATGAATTGCTCTTGAATTTGATGCTTCCATTCATGCTAACTTCTGTTGATATTCCTATCATATTTCCATCAATAGAACCATTTACTCTCGAAGTGGGTCCTCCTTTCAGCTATTCATCAACAATTTTCAGCTATCTATTATGATTTTTCCTCAAATTTTCCTTAAGAAAGTTATATTGCTCTACATCCATATTTAATCTGCTGCGATTTTAGGGATAATTCCCGTCATAATCAGCTAATGATTTTTGCTATCTTTAAGTTATATGGTTTTCACCTGGGTAAGCATCTATACTCTTTTATTTCAGTTTTATTGCTTTTTCCTTGTATTTTTTGTGACTATTGATAAGAGGTGTTTTTTCGGCTTCATCATCTGTTTTGTGATGATTTTATTAGATAGTTGCAGAAGGCATCGTATTCTTTTGTTTCTTTGCTTTTTTACTATGCAATGGAGGTTGAGATATTTGGATCAAAGGAGGGTACATGCCTAGTGGAGGATTAGGTTAATTTAGATTATGATGAGTGGACCCATTAACAAAGGAATATGATTAAGCTCCTGGAATTCCAGGAGGTAGCTTTTACGTTGCATTAAATTGATTATTGAGAGAGCTCTAATGCTAATTGAAATTTTAATGGCCTTTGTTTATGGACTTTGGTGATTAGTATAGATGTGATTAATCTAAGTACTGTTACTTTTAGTGAGCTATTGAGAACGCCTACTTCTTTTGCTTAGGTGTGAATTCGTTTTTAAGAGATTGCTATAAGTCCATATAAATTATATTACTGATTAGCTATATTATTTGATTTTCTGAATTTTTAAAAGGACTAGATCTTAAACTACGGGGTTTTGGGGTTTTGGGGTTTTGGGG